AGAAGAAAGGTCTACCCTCCAACTAGGTTCAACAACAGGAGATAATCGGAACTAAGTAGATATGAAGCTAAAATAGTATAGCACACAGCCGGATGCACGATTAAGCTTAAGCTTACACAGTCTTATGATAAATAATAACAATTCGAGGTTCTGATAAACCGATTTATCACAACATAGGTCGTAGGTCATCTCAAAGCGGTTCACAAATTATAAACCGTGCTTATTTGGCGTTCGCAACGAGCAAATATCTTTCTCAACTCCAAGGGGAGCATTCAGCCGACGTTGCCATGAAGGCGCTCACAGCTAGCATTCAACAAGTCCAGCACTGCCCAACCACTTACTCATTCACAGCTGAGTAGACTTGAACAAGCGGAGTAAAGTATCTTGTTCAAAGATACAGCACAGTGCCATGACGTTACTCAAACCCGCAACCCTTCGGTCACGAGCCCGGCGTCCTACCACTAAACCACCGTGTCTTGACTGTGTCTTTTTTCTTGTCTTTGTTTGTTTTCCTCGCCGGGGGGACAATTCATACTTCTTTTAATTACAAAATATCTACTAACAAAACAGAAAGTGAAGAAAATAAATAAGTAAACCAATGCAATGTTCCATCATAAAATATTTATTTCAGTAAACCTGGAATGAACAAGGAAAAATGTGTGTAAAAAACTAACCACAACTATGGTATTCTTTAAGTAATACTGATATGCGGTTTTGTATATTGCACGGAAATGTAAAAATGACAGATCTAATTCAACAAGTAAAGATAACGCTTTTATCAATTACATGATAATATATCTTTAATATCTAGCTATAAGACTATACAGGAAAAGGCGTGGTTTCATAAAAATGGGCCACATTGGTTTGATAAATAATAATGAACATGCGAAGGACTATCTAGGCTAGGCACGGTGAAGTGATGGACATGTTAGGTGGACGAAAATGTACAACTTCTCCCCCGAACGTTCAGGAGTTCTATAACAAGAATTACACAGGAAACAAAACTCGTTTTGAAATGCGCTGATGATGTAACCGTGTAACACCGCCGCTTGTTTTAAGCATGGCGGAAAATTCCTATCCTGATGAGATCTGAAAATGTTTGATAATGATGAACAAAAGACAATCAGACTATATCACTTATAATAGTTTCTAAAAGTTTAACGGAAGTAGAACAATATATTACATAATAAAGTGTGTTGTTAATGCAAATATTTCAGCAAGATGTGGATATTACTAAATCTTACCAGCTTAATGCAAATGTTCTATACATCCCAGCACTTTCAATAAATACAAAAAGAACCCCAAACAATTCTATCATTTTCAACATTAGTCTACAGAAACTTCATGGCACAAACTTTGGCTAAATCTATAATATTTTATTACTTTTTGTTTTTAATTATGAAAATGATTCAAATAAATTTATCTCACAATTTCTGGATAAACATAGTGGATATATTTGCTAACGTCAACATAGGCATTACGTTATGATGACGTCATTCAATACGTCTGTAATAAAACATGCAATGCTCTTTAATATATTTTGATTGCTACATAAGTGCAGGTGATATTCAGACAAAACATAAATTATGTACATTACTTCTCAGTTTCTCAACAGCATATGAGTTCATAGGTCTCTCACTGTTGTGTAAACATGGGCTATGGTGATCAGTAGATAGGAAAAAAGTAGAAAAGTAGTGAAGAAAAGCATTTCTATGTATAGCGTCACATGCAAGCAAACAACATTTACTTTCAATTGTTGGCACACGAATGTATGAGAGAGACATATATCATTAATCAAAATTCATATCATAAATTAAATCTAAAACTATGATAATACTAATTGATATCTTTCACAAAATGACTCAAAACAAAACGGATAATGTCATTTCAATGCGTTGTGACGTCACAACCTCTATTCACGTTACATCGTTGTTAAGGTAGATTCGATAAAATTGATAGTAAGTGAAAGGTCAATAATGCATACAAAATATGACTGATGGCATAACTATCAATGTCTATGTCATGTGTACGTGCATGTTCAAATGACAATGAAATAAACATTTATGTTCAGATTATGTTACCTGAAATTGATGAGATAATGCATTCAAAATGTAAGCTATGATGTAACTACCAACCTATACGCCATATGCTCGATTTTAATGGAAATGACACCTGATAAGGAAATAATATTCTGTTTCATAAACGAAGTCACGCATCCAAACAGGTTAAATTTCTTAGCTTTTCTAATTGATGATGAATTGATGGTATACATAACGTTGTTCTGATCCCTAAGTATCATACAGTAAAATCCATATTTTTTTTAGTTCAGCTGATTCGTTAATATCTATGAAACAAAACATTCGTGATAATTTGAAATCCAAATATAATATTTATGATTTTAAACTAACTGCAATCAATTTTCACGACTTATTTAATTTTCCCTGAAAATTATTTGAAGTCGAACTTCGATATGACGGATTGCCTAAAATCATGATTAAACTTCGAGATCGACGTTTCATTTGAGATATTAGAATTATAACTTATAGTTTCCAAAGGGAACCTCGAGATAAAAGATATAGTACTTCGTATGAAAAATGTTCGAGTGTATAGACACGAGATATATAGCTGATTGACTTCGAGATAACAAGGATACCGAACTTCGTAATAATGCTCCTCGATTCTGTTAAGCAAGAGATAAGAGTCTCATTTCGAGATAACAGGGATATCGTATTTCATTATTTATATGGCGAGATAAAGGTGATTTGCATTTCGTTGATATATAACATGAAAAACTTAAATGAGTAAATACAGTCAAATGCATAGTCTCCTTTTGTCAAATTATTGACCAGGATTGAAAAAACAGACTTCATCCAATTCTCTATATGAAATGACATTTTTATATACAATGAATAAGGGCGCTGCTAAAACAGTTGTCTGTATAGTTCTCTATAATCTATGAAAATGCTTTGTGAATTAATCGTATGCTATATTTCTTCTATGAATTATTTAGACCATTCAATTTTTCTTATACCATGTTCGAGGATAAAAAAGACTATGTACCTATAAATATCTAAGACCTTTCTATTGTATTGAAAACACCAAACGTTGTTTGTACAATGTTACTTTAAAAGCATGTTCGAATCACTAGTTTATATGAATGTATTGTTTTATGTATAACTCTGTTACATAAACAATCAAAGTAACTGTTATTTTGAAAAATCACACTTGTTTGGACTACTTTGTCAACAGATGAGGTCTCTCCAAACTAATTTACTTGGCTCAATTTGAACATTCGTCCTTCATTTCATTATACATTGTTTTAAGCCAAATTAGTCATTAATATCTATGGTTAGTAATATTTTGATAAAGACGTTATTTGGTTTGTGTTTTACGTCCTATTTACAGCTATGGTCATTTAAGGAGGTGCCAGGTTTTGCTGGTGGAAGAAAGCCGGAGTTCCCGGAGAAAAACCACCGACCTACGGCGAGTACCTTGCGACTGCCCCACGTAGGTCTCGAACCCGCGACCTGGTTGTTGAGGCTAGTGGAAGCAGAATGTCAGACCCCTTCAACACTTGGCCACCGCGGCCCCTCTATAAAAGTGATTATTCTTTAAATAACGATTCAGTGTTTCAGCTCTTTTTGGTCTTGTCTGCAACATATGGTGTTATATTTCAAAAGCAAGGTTGATATTTACATTCTGAAGAAGAGGTCGTCTCTTCTATCATCTTTTAAATAAAAGTTGACGAAAACAGAATGTACATTTCAAAGTATATATATCGCTTAACCTGGGGTAGGTACATAACACTAGAAAAAATATCTAAAATAATTAGGCCTGTAGTTTCTAAGCTATATTGAAACAATCAAGGGAAACTAGAGCACCGATTCAGTTAAGGTACACATCAATTAAAATACTCTTGATCATCAAAAGCAATACATGATAATGTTTACAATTATTTACAAGTTTTGAAGTGTCTGGTAAAAAAACCCAACTAACAGTGATTCGGACAAATTGAAAATACTGTTTCTCTTTTGTTTAACAACCAACATGAAATCATCTAATCTAACCAATTGCATTCTATCAATGTGATTGGCTAATAAATATATGAAAAACTCTGAAATTGAGTAGAACCTCGTCACCCAAGACAAATTATTTTCCGAATAAATGACGAAAATGAAATGTAAAAAACAAAAGAGCGTACTGCTTTACTCGCCGAGTCGTCCTCAGAAAATATCATCATTAAATTTATTTTAAAAAGTATTTTTTTTATCTATGACATGTAAAAATATGCAATGAGAATCTACAATGATAAAGTTCATGGAAAGTAACGTTTGTTGAGGAGTTTTTCTTTCAAGTCTCTTATGATTTCTCAGAACGGCACCATGAATTGAGCAAAATAGGAATAATAATTGTTGACTATTAATTTCATAGGAAAGCAAATTAGGGGTATATGCTACCATGCTTATAGTATGCCTATGTGTCATAAGAGTCTTCCTTATTTTTTATACGCATTGTATAATAACTCATAATAACAAGAAATGTAATATTTAATATTCTTAGCCTCTTTTTTTTTAAATGTTTTAGTATGGTAAGGAAGCATCTAACTTTAAGAATATCTGTCCCACTACAGGCAAAGCGTTAGAGAATTCAAATGCACAGTTTCCATCCTTTCATTTCATTTTAGATAAAACTTGTATGGATCTAAGTTAGAGAACGGCCCTTGACCACGCATTTAGTCACAGTGACCATGTGGCTTATATCACAACGGATAATTTTTTTTTATCCCAATTCACATTTAATGTTTTTGCAGTTGTATGTGAATCCTTTCAGCAGATTCATCGTAGACAGTAAGAGAGATATATGACGAGGTTCTACCCACTCAGACTAACTCTACAAAACATGCATACATTTGATTGCACTTGTGGGTTTGTGTCAATAACTAAACATAATACTGACTAGACGTAATACACTCATCTCCAAAAATAGTTCGACTAGGTGGGGTGAATAACATCAACGTATAATATGATCTCAAGACTGTATCCGTCAAACACATCCAACATATATGTAGACTAGTAGGTGGGAATAAAACACCAACAAATATATCGTGTCTGTATCAAAATGCTTAAATGGGATTTCGTAAGAAAATAGAAAATACAAAAATGGTGATTTCGATTAAGGGGTTAAGGGGCACTTGGTTGGTTATATACTGATATCTGTTATCACACAAGTTCTGGCACTACTGGCGGTAGGAAGGTGAATGGTCACTAATGAATTGGGACAAAAAATATTTATACATCTACAAAGGTCGTTGGTGTCAAATGTCTATGGGTTCAAATTTAAGTTCGAATTTGTATATAAGTAATGAAGCATATCTAGTTCCGCTATTTATATCACCGTTTAGATATCGTTTGTTGCGGTTTAAATATGTCATAAACATCCACAGTGCATACTAGAGTCGTTCGTGTATCGTTGAGGTCTTTTCGCGTCCCTGTTGACACCGTTCCGTGTGATGCATTAGTCTTTGTTACTCGGGGTGTGAGTAATACTCTAAAAGTCATAAGTACTCATTTTTCACGTTAGGACCTTTGGATAAAATCAATCAGGAGACGATGTAACGATGATTCACTGCACAAACCACAAATTATCCTGTCTCCAGTCATCATTACGAAAAGTTCAAACTCTCAGGAGAGAGACTATGTTTTATCATATCTAAAGTAGATTCTGGACCCTCCTTTATACAAGCTGACTCGTAATGTTTATTAAGATACGATTTTAAGGCAAACGATTTGTTGCATCTCTTACAGGTATAGTGTTTGAACGCCGAATGCGTTTGCATATGTGCACGTAGGTTGGAGCGGTCTGCGAATGCCTTCCCACAGTGAGCGCATCCGTACGGCTTCTCTCCCGTGTGAGAACGTTTATGTCCATGCAATAACCACGGCCTGGAGAAACTCTTCCCACATATATCGCAACGGTGTTTGAGTTCGTGCGTTAGAATATGCATAGACAGTGCTGGCATGCTGACGTAGACTTTGTCACAGTAGGGGCACTTCTTTGCTAGCTGACTGTCTAGACTCCTGTGTGTTTGCTTGTGGCGGGAGAGGTTTGAGGATGTCGCGTAATCCTTCCCGCATTCATTACACGTGTAACGTTGCTTGCTGACCTTTTCTGGAATACCAAATGCATTTTTACGTCGCGACCGTCCGTCGCTTATGAAGAACGCATCATAGGTGTATCCAATGGTTACACTTCTGTTAATTTCTTCAATGTTGTTTTTGTTCCGGTCAGGACTAAGATCAAGGACTGGACACTCTTCATCATGCACGTCCTCAAACTGGATCTCTACATGCGCCGCTGGGGGTTGTGGCTTCTCTTCGATCTCAGCGACAGATGCATTCACCGGAAGTGACGGCACTATCAGGTCACTTATGTACCCTACAAAATGGGGAAAAAGTATAATGAGTTAATATTAAAAACATTATATCGTGAAATAACAGGCTTCACGTTTATTTGTATCAATGAAAGGTATCAGACAAAGGCTGTCTTCAATGTAACTGCAATCCAATATTTATTTTTACACAAGCATTCCTCTAATCGGTGTCAAGTAAAATTTCGGTTTTTAAATTATTTTCAATTCGAAGTATTAATGTATATTCGATTTCCGTTTCTCGTTAGATTAAGATTGAACCTAGAGGTAAGTTATCGTAAATAAAACTCTGCGATAACGTGTATTATATGTTTAAAGAACATATATCAACGGAGGGCCCATCTCCAAAGAAAATATCAGAAGTACAGATATGGAATGAACATTTTCTTTCAGATACAGATAACATATGATTATAAGCAAGTAAGATATTATCTTATTTTGAAAAAAACCGAGTGACATAATCGATGAAATTAATAAAGAGGATGTTGATCTTATTTGAAAAAATCCCGCAGTGACATATCAAATCAAACAAGAATAATTAAAAGTAATAAAAACGATGTTTTTTAGTTCTAAGTTGAGGTTGATATCATTCATTATTGTTTGAAACCTTTCTCATGTGTCTATGTCATCGCTTTAGGAATATCCTTATCTAATCATAAATCTAGCATTTCTACGGCTTTGGAATAATATTAAAGGGGGGGGGGGGGGGTATATACCAAAGTGATCGTAGAACTCTACTGAAACTTTTTATATGCATGATTAGCTTCAACAGATCATTTCTAACAAGAAAATAAAAGACCCATACCATACTGAGCCTTTATACAACGAAACTTAAATGTGGAATACAAACAAGCCAAAAACGGTGTTTTAAGGGTAAAATGGCATCAGGGCCAAACCAGGATTCGAACCATGGTCACAATCTTGTCTTTCTAACCTATTGATCAGTGGCGGGTGTGTTGCCAAGTCGATATACAATAATATTTAATAGAAATTAAAGGAAGACTACTGTATGTATAGAAAACACGTTTTATATTCTGGTATTGGAATGCACTAGGACAGGTATACTTACCCATGGTTGTACTTAAATCCCTTAGTCTACAGACAAACTAAATTGATTGTTATTCAATCTGTTGATCAGTGTGACAATGTATGTTTTGTTCAGACAGCGAGAACTTGCATCAATAAGCACACATAATTCTGTCATCAAGTTCACATCATTTATTTATATTTACTCCTATCGTCTATTGGCGAAATCAATTATCAGACATTAAGCTGATGGGATAAGGTATCAACCATGAATAACAACCATATGATATATTGTTTATGTAAGGATCCCTGTCCCAGTCCAGGTAAACACTAGACAAATAAACTGTATATTTTGTACAATATATTCACTTTTTATGGCGAAAAAAAGTTTCCAATTCATAGTTTAATATACAAGCTGTTGTACGGGAGGGACTCTTTAATTTTGTTTTCAATGAAGTCGATATTTTAAAACCCTTTGTATATCATCAGCATATTTAGTTTGATATGGTTGTAGTAAATATACTTGTTTCAACCCTAACTACTTTCGCGGTCTAAACATATGCAACTCCGGGTTGATGAACGTAAAAGACACCAATACGATTGCAGCTATATATTTTTTTTGTAATAGATACTGCATGCCAAAAATGAATCACTCCGCAGCATACATCGGTTATGCAAGGGACCAAAGCGGGCCAACTAATTTGCTAATTGCATTTTGCAAATCTAAAGCACTATTATCTATTCCAGACATCTAGTATCTCAATCAATTATAATATCGTATTTTTAAGGGAGGAAAAACTTATTGTAAGAAGCTCTTTTACAGAGTTGAAATCGCTAGAGAGCAACACAAAATGTCTTTGTTGTTCATAGCAATATATAACCATCTTAAACTTCCTATTGATATATCCATTCAAGATATCTACTTCTTAAGAATGAAATAAGGAATAAATCTTAATGAAAAATGACAGTATTTAAAGTTTCATCTATTTATCTCTCTATTGCCTCCTGCCGCCCGTATTGCACCTTGCGTAAGGTAAGCGTTACCTTTCATCAGTTAATAAAACATTGTTATAGCCAGCAATAACATCAACAGGTGGAGTTGACAAGTGACAGTATAGTTCGCTTTACATACCTATTCATGCGTTGTATATCTTTCTTCTTAACATTTTTCTTTTCAAAAATCACATGTGAAAACAAAGTATATATTTTGCATATCAGGTAATGCAAGAAAACGATTTTAAAACACTATAAATAATTACAAATCACCTGAAACAACGACGGGGTAATATTTCACAATTAAGCTGACGGTGCTGTGTGAAATGAAACTGATGATGCCAATGTATCAAAGATTTATTCGCTCGAAGCGAGTCTAGTCACCATTTCAATCACTTTTAAATCAACAAAGTGCAACACAAATTCACGTTTTATCAAATATTCGTTTATAAGGATGCATTACATCTTCCTACTTTCATTTTCTAATGTAATCACATTGACATCTCATTCGCGGTCATGCGTCCCTCATGGAGTTTTCATTCCCTGTGTTAGACGCTGAAACAGCGCGTTATTCAGGCGATGTCATTAACATCTGGCTCGCAACGAATGCATAAGATAATATGTTACCTCGATGCAAATGAAGACCCATTGTCGTTGCAATACGGCAACATCGTAATTTGTTTGTATTTATTTAAACAAGAACTGGAGAAACGAATGCTATATACTCCTGATTCTAAATTCACGTATTTACAACAGCCATAGAAAAACTGACTGTAAATATATCCATACATATAACTCTTAGTCGAAATATTAAATGAAGATCAATTTCCAGGATCTAGATTATTATTATTTGCAATGACTGCATAATTTTCAAATTCAATATTATGTCATTTGACACATTCTGCTAGGCCAGTTAGACAGAAAAGATCGAAAGTGATAACTTTAGACCGGTGTTTACTCCAGCATGAAATGAGACAGACTTATCTACCACCATCGTGCTTTGGATTTGGAGGCGTGACCAACAGAATCACTGGACCGTGAAATCGTCCATTAAATGAATCACAAATACAGTCGCGTGCTGGGCAGATGTCTATCGCTATCCACTCGACTCTTCAAATGATTGTTGAACTTTAATTCTAAAGCATAATTTACTTGATTACCATGAACGAATGGCGTACAGTTTCATCAGCTTAAAATGTAAATTAAGTAAAATTGCTCACCTGCATATGATCAAAAACTTGAATAAAAAATGAACTTCTTTAAAGAAAAATTACCTTATAACACGTAGACGAGAAAGACTGATAGGAGTATCGCAAATGCGAACAAAATACGATTTGTGATTTAAAGTTTAAGTTATACAAAACTAACAATGCTTTTTAATTACTGTTTACAATACAAGTGCCTCGGGTGGTCATTTTTTTGTAGTTTGTGATCATTTTTCAGCGATAAAATTTCCCAGTGATAATATGACTTAACCATCAGTTAAATTAAATAGCAGTGGTTTTTCAATTTTTCAGCATTAGCAACATAAACAATTTTTCCTGTAGCGTAGAGCCCCGTTAGTAATATTCGAACAGAATGAAAGAGCAGATGGCGCATGGAACTAAGAATATTGGGATAACTTACAGTATTGATTTGATAAGCTACCTATAAGAACCAGGTGAGAATGAAACTTGAGTTAACAGGTCCTAGGATCCATTGGGACTTGTCTGACACTTTTTGTTAAATATACCAAAACAAGCAAAAGGGGAAATGGAGGGCGGGATATTAAAAGCCTAGTTAGCTTCACGTGTTATTATAAAAAGAAAATGAAAAGAAACTATAACATTTACAAATATTATTTGATTCCCTGTACACGGACAGTTATATTCAATTTATACATTAAGATTTTGTCTTGAATTTCAATATTTTTGTAAATATACTAGATAAAATGTTTTGTTATTTGTTCATTAAGCTTATCCATCTTTTGATATTTGTGCCCTGAAGTTAATCAATAGTAGCAGGCGGTTTATGCTTCAAATATAATGTATTCTTATTGCAAATGTCTTTAAACCTTCACAACCTCAAAAAGCATGATTACTTATCTTCATGATACAAATATAGTAAAAGAGTGATTTCATCACTAACGTCTAAATTTCGAAACTTTGATGTTGGAGGGAAACAAATAATAATCTGTACAAATGCCATTTAAACTTAGATACATATATATATATATAAATATCTGATGATACATTCTAAAAGCTTATTAATTTACATCACCTCAGTGAATACATAGTGTGTTTATTGCAAATGTTTCAACTTAGTAACATCCGTGAATTAAATTTCATTTTAAATCGAATTACGAAGCAAATCAGGTGTTCACCCTTTTGTCTACTTTATATCAAATATATACGTGTGTTAGAAACAATATTCAGTAAAACATCTACATAGAAATTAATGAAAGAAATGTGACAGACATTTACGAGTTTATGTGGGTTTTTTTTTTATTACAGTAGACATTGAAAATATGCATCATATGGCCGTGTCAAAAACATATGTAAATATCATCATAATCAGAGCTCTAGAATGTCAAAATATAAAACAAAATCCCTGTCAACTCAGTTAGAGATCTCGTAGATATTTAGCGACCGCGATTTGGACTTACGCTAGACTTTCCGTATTATCATGAATGAAACGGTTTACATAAAGTCATTTTGAAATACAAAAAAATGAGGGGGAACATTCTTGTTTTAAACTCAATAAAATCTTTGAGTTAATTGTTCAGCGCCGAAAGTCGCAAAGAAAGCTCTGAACTAGTTCCCGGACAGAACCGCGTTCCTTGCGCCCCTGACTTACGACCGCTGCTCATTTTAACAACCTCGTTAAAATTCCCTCGTGAGTAATGAAGAGTCCTGAAATGTCGAGAGGACGCAAACGACAGGGTACCTTATGACAACATGGAATATTTGTCATCATCTTGACAATGACAGACTGACTGATTTATCCGTACTTGAAGACTTCCAAGGACAATTATACCGTCTGCACGTGCGTTCCCTTGTGCAATTGCCCAGTATTTTCGTCGTTGGCCATATTATTGCGCAGATCATCTGGTGCTTTTTACCCACACGATTGGTCATACATTTTAATCAAGCACTCTTTTTAATATGTTTTGTATTAATCATACATATTTAGTTACAGCCAGATTAGTAGTGTTCCCAAATATTTAATTAGAATGATGGAAGACTAGCCATAATATACAGATTCATTAACAGATGCGTGCTGTTATTACGTGGTAGTTTATAGACCTCCAATTACTACCAATAGGTGTTAAATAAACATTAGAATTTCTATCTTTATTTACCGTTATAAGAACGTGCATTATGCATGCAGGTACAGACAGAATCATGTACACACTCCATAACAGGTGGCCTTCAGATTTCGTGTACAGCTTATTATTACCAACTGTCAAATTATTATCTACATAATATTCAAAATTGAACCAATGGGAGAAAAATAAACATGATTTGAAAGGTTTTTTTCTCTTACCTTTAACATCTGGCCAAACGTTTTAGCCTTGCATAATTTCTCTATCAACAGTCTGCTGTAACATTATATAAATAAGTGAGAGGGTAGGAGAAAATCAGTAGTTTCTACCTTTGACGATATTACAATGAAATATCAAGTAAGGGTTCAAATTCTTGAATGTCAACCCCCAAGTAAGTCTCGGGTTTGGACATTCCAGAACTGTTGCTCAAGAGTGAGATTTCCTAACATGCCTTCAAGGTAGTGAAAAATGATATTTATATTTAATCAACACCAGTTCTTATACGATTTGATACTCATTTATCCCATTAAACCTCCGTAATACACCCTGTTACCCATAGCAATGACCGTTTAAGCATATCAAACATGACTATTTAAACCACATTACTCTCTTGTAATGAGCTAAAATAATACCGTTTCCATACTTATTATTTCATTAAATTCTACCTTTCTATCAGATACCCCTTCCTTCAATCATTGCAGTAAAACCATACTGCTTGTCCAAACAAGTATCGTCTGGCCGTAAATACAGAATTCGATAATAACTGATTGATTTAGCCACTCGTGAGTGCACGACCGATTACTACAGTCGCTGAAAACACTGTCTATGTCGCCGAGGTTAAATCAATTAGATATACATCATGGCCCTTTTCGATTCAGCAATAGTCATGTGATAAAGTCAACATCGAGTTACACGAAGCCATACTCGTCAAACACTTGTATTTTGATTTAATATTTATTATAACGCGTTCCAGTGCTAATGTTGTTATCAGAACAGTTCGCCATTTGACGGGATATAAATTTCATTCTCGATGATAATATGAAAACCTAAATGCAGCTTATCAAGCGCATTTATCACGTTTACATTATTAGGCGAAATTGTAGTTGGATTCAAAATGACATCCTTCATTTAGACAACATGATAAAAGTCAATGTTTTGTAATTGGTTTTGGGAAAAAATATTTGAAAATTTAGCATGTGTAATTTACTATAGTGAAACTTGATATCTCCTTTGCTTTCACATGATAATGAGTCAGTTAACACGATTTTGATGAACACTTCATGAAATATCAAACCAATTCAAGATACATATCATCTGGCATTATTTTATCCAATTACTAATTAACATAAAGAAACAATAATATACAATTGTAAAAATATGAAAGTACGGATGTAACATCATAATGGAGAAAACCACACAGCCATTTAATCCATGATGAATGGCTAAGCCCGAAAGCTCATTAAGAGTGACTGTTGATATGTTTCACATTATTATACCACTTTGTCTCATGCAACGAAAAAACTTCTTTAAAATCGATACAAAATGAAAGACATGAATTTTACATAAATCAAGACATTGTTCGATATTAACTTTGTAATCTTACTTGACATCCCTTATTCGATATGTAAAAGTATGATTTGACTTATTCAATAATTCATTTTTACTGAATCTATATTTTCATCAGACTTATTCAACAATGAAAACATCGATTTAAAACTCATACGATCACCTCCACATGTCTTAAAAATTATTTTCATGCGGGTTTGAGAATTTTCCTATTTAGTGAACTTCCAAAACAATGACAGACTGGTTTTCTAAAATATCAACAAGCTATTCTCAAAAGTAACTAGTCTAGTCTTGTTTACTCGAAACGCAAGTATCAACATCAATATGTTATTAAAACTAAGCGGTAAATATGTGATATCTGTCATGAAAATATTAATAATGTCTTTAAAAAGATTTTACAGAAAACACTTCACTACTTCCAACACAAGTATTAATTTGTATTTTGTCACTGACAGGCTCTTGAAGAGAAAATAAAGAACAAATTACACCCGATATGGACTTGAGTAAACAAACGTCAACTCGACTTGGGCCACACTCTCACCTTAGGGTCATCGTTAAATACCAGATTAGCTGGAGACCGTTCCCACTAATTCCATTATCTCCTTGTTACCGTTAAGTGTACAGTGTTGAATAATTTTCCGACGAAATTCAGTTTTACCACTCCCTGTCTGATAGTTCATATTTTACGAATGAATTGAAGATCGTAAATCATAAAGAATCAATAAATGTAATCAGAATTTGCCTGTTGTCATAATTCAGGATTGATAATAATCTCACTTCTAGTTTGAACAAGATTAAAAAATCTAATTGACAGAAAAATACAAAAGTATTTTGCACTTAATAGGGATTAGTTGCCATGTATGACAATGCGTACATAATTACAAAATATAAAAATTTTGATAATCCTTATTTATTATGAAAAATTTAGAGTTCTTATTTCCATATAAAGCACAAACGAATTTGGAAAATGGTAGTCTGATACAAATGTTATATTGATACTGAAGCATAACTGTTTCAGAAGCACAAAACATGTGTTTATACCAAAATTGAAAGTCTATATATAATAGCTTATCTTATCACCTATTGTTTAATAGTTGTCTAAGGAATACAACAGATACATTTATATAAAGACCAAAATATAAATGTCGGAACTCAATCTTGTCTATAACAGATTCTAAATATGAATATTTGTAATGGTTAGCTTTTATATATTAATATACTATCTCTGTCAAAGGTCAAATGAAGCTAACCATGCTTTACTTAACGATCGACTTTAATTATAATATATATGAATTCAGATTATACAAAACGTAACATATCTGTAATTAACGAAACAGCTTTGTCAGCTTGGCTCTAGGAATTTTATAGAATTAACAAATTCCTTTCCTAGATTTAAAGGTATGTATACTTTATACATTGTCAATGTCGCCAATCAATGTATGTGTGTGTGGTCTATTCTACAACAGATTAACACCGACATCATTGACAGGATACAGTGCACCTGTTGACATGAGAGTGTACTTACCATTATTAACTCTGACAGCCAGTGGATGTGTACTGGGTGTGTAGGGGGCCACCGCTCTACCACCGTCCACGTCATCCTCGTATATCTCCTTGGACCAATAATGACCATGCATGGATTTGTCATCGTCACATTTAACTTTCTTGACAAGAAATGACCTCGGCATCTTTTTGGGGAGTTTTCGTTCCTACACAAAATCCCAGATTTAACAGTTTATACACTGAAGAAGTTAATGTCTTTTCATTATTTGTATTTGTAGAATCCTTTATCTCCCGTACGTAGCAGTGTCACGCCCTGAAGCACTGCTTCTAGCGTCCCGTCTGATCATGTTGATCGGATTGCGTTACAACGTTGCTGCCTGACATTATCTGTATTGTCCCCGTCCTGTGGTACCGTAACACCGGGTATATCAATAAATTGTTGCATATACTCACTCAATCACGTGTCCTCAAAGAGAGACCATTATATTATGGGCTGTATCTACAGCCGCGTGAGTGTGTCTGTTTGAGTGCGTGTGTATCAATGCGTTTTGCCATCCATTCAGCGCTGTAACGGGTGAATTCTAAAGTATATATTCGCTATACGGTGTGAACGTAGCCATGTGTGTGCCACCGTTTTTTTTTCAAAAACGTCCCGTTTATTACTTCGAGACTGGATGATGCGCCTCAGCGCAGCTTTAAATAGCTGACCCTTACCAATCATCGGGCACGCGCCGGCGAATCATAGTGAAGCAGGCATGATTTTTACCATGAATAATTGAGGCGGCGAACAATGGGAATAGTGGTGTTGCCTTTGACAAATACAAACAGTTACTATTATCCCATTGAACGTTGTATGGATTGTTCTTAGCTCCAGTCATCTGCCGCTCCATACAATCTCATTATTCTAATTGGGTAGCATCGTGCAATTTCTTGAGCGTGCGCGTTGAAGAAAGATCCGCGTGCCTGGATGGTTTTAAACATTACGATTCCATCAGTAAAATTTAACACCCGGTTAATCACACCGAACCGACGACGGAACAGATGATATAGAGAGGGGTATTTGGGAATCAGGATTTTTCCCGGGTACAGCAGACAACCACAGGATGATGATTGAGAGATGTGAAAATATCCAGGATACCCACTTACGGAGTACATACAGACAAGATTATACTGGAGAAGGTGAACACGATGTTTTGGTAGAGGTGACAGGCCAGATGATGGGGGTAGAGATCAAAATAGCCAAGACTAGTAGAGATGTAAGATTATGATGGAGGCATGGGACGAGGATATTCGAGATACAGCAGATAGACTAGGTGATGGAAGAGATGGGTAGTTGAGCCGTAATATCGGGTAGAGTCGAAGATACATGATGTCTAAGACGGGTCAGGAGAATAAGGATTTTCTGGTAGAGTAGACGGAGAGGGTGTAGACTGGGAACCAAGATAACTTGATAAAGTAAACTGTTATGTTAATATAGGACAGAAGTTGAGGATGGAATAATCGGGTCGACCGGTTAGATAATACAGGACAGGGGAATCTGGGATACCCGTGTTCAATAAACTGACAAGATCATAAAGTTAGAAAAAGGTAAACAGGCAGGGAAAACCAACAGTGCTATCGACAGGTGTTTCGTGTTGAATCTACAAAAATCCTTATTGATTCTTAGTAAAGCATAATAGACGTTATAACAACGGACCAAGGTTAAATCGATCTAGGGAAGAGAAAGGCTCACAGATCGAGCCGACCACGTAAGCAAACTAAGCATTATACCGACCTCGCTCTCCAAAACTAATATTGGGCAAATCTACTATCAATAGCGGCGTGTATATGTAGAAGGCTTTTAAAACCAACAAGAATTATTGCGCTGTTTCTGGCAAGTGACGAAAGCCATCAAACTACCTTCCAGAGATATTTTTGACAATAAACAAACACCAATAACCAGAGAAATAGACATCTATGATTTAATTATTCGGACGTTAATCGATCAATGTGTGTTGTATTTGAATGATATGCATAGCGTGACACGTCATTAGAAAAAACAAACGTGTTTTTCGTAACCATTGTGTTATTGTAAATTATGTCTGCTTAATTTAAGCTTATGCTCATTTGCGCAGTTGCTGTTAAAACGTATCAGTGTGAATAATTAGGTTTGAATTACAGCTATTATCACTTGTACGGTCTGCTCATTGACTATGTTCATGCGCATTATACATAGGAGTTATGTGACACAGCCTAATTACTGCGCATACTCACTGCGATCATACACGGGAGTTATGCAAGAATCCCGGTACCACTTGCCAATACTGAATTTGAAAAAGTTCCATCGGCATGAAAATACCTTTAATAAACCATTTTTAAAAAGTACATTAATGGAAGAAATAAAGATGAATTATTAAAACTGAATATAATCAACAACAACACTTGATTCAAATCCGGAACTTTCTATTATTCCTGCCACGACCTTTTAATAAACCCTTGGTTGAGATGATCCAACACTGCAAGTAAAAAAAATAAACCTAAAACTTGCTGATCTTGCTGGAAATTGTTTAACTCAGTCATCCCTGAGTACACATTTGAACTCCTAAAATTCAAAGGCTGGAATAATTCATCATGAAATTTTAGGTGTGAATGAGTTAACCAAATGCATGCTGGACCATAGACCCCGTCGTTATATGAACTAGACGTGATGTATCGACCTTGACACTAATCGTGTATAAATTATCAAAATACCACCAGTTTAACGTTATCCCTTGCAGCATACCTACCGTCACTATTTCCAAAACGGGACACTTTTCAGTTAAATATTGATGTATCTATTTCAAAACTGTTTGTCTATTTTTCATAAAACGGCGTTATCAACTTTTATATAAAAAAAAAGAAGATAATTCCGGTCCGTGGTTTTATAAATAAATCGCAAAATATATATATTAGGGTCAAGACGGCTCTTTAACAGACGAGACTGTACCCTGTAATGGACACTTTGGTATTTTGGATAATATTGTTGGATAAACTAACAATGTAAGCAGAAAATTACGTACACCTTAAGTATTTTAGTCTCAAAGGACGTTCTAATCAAATTTTGTCTCCAAACCAGCATTAGTTTAGAAATAAAAATCTGAAAAGGATATCCAAATAGATATCGGTGCACGGTACGTAAATTAGGAAAGCTATCTCATCAAAATTATTTCTAAACTTAAACTGTCCATGTGACCATAATCAACAACAGATTAAGCCATTATACAGTTGAAATGACATTAAAAGCGCTACATATATGTAGCAAAAAAATAATACATGAATATATTTCTTTGAATTGCATTTCAATTTCCTTGCCCGTTTTCCCGTACATTGTAAGTGTCCCGTTTTGGGTACACTGACGTTAGCTTCGCCTCCGTAATTTTGTTGTGGGTCTATGGTTCCATAAAGGTATTGCAGTCTGTTTCTTATGAATCGTAGTAACGACATCTTTGTCAACGTGTTAAAATACTGACTAAAGGTCAAATGTCAATTATATGAAAAGAAGGATAATTCCCGAAATCCTAAATAATGCAATTTATTTGTACAAGGAATAATTCAATTTCTTTCCGAAACCACTAATATCTTACCACAAAATCAATTCCATGGCCACGGCCATTCATACTGCATCAGCTGCGGGTAGACCTGACTTGGTGCTATTTGAAAGGTGTAAATACTGATTTTACTTGTCTGTCACAAGGTTAAACAAAACAATGTAACTGCTTGTTAAATTTAAATATTGACGCTGTGCCATAAAACCTTGAAATTGATTATAAATATCATTACTTGTACAGATATAATCAGCTAATTATCCTTGTATTGTGTGTCCCGGTGTGATATTAGATTCCTTGAGTCAAAGAAACTATGATGCACGCCCAATTCAATGACTTTCTACTTCTGTGATTATGTGATTCAGTACCCAATCTGATTTCTGCCATTCCTTCATTAATGGTGGACCTCCTACCTCTAAGTTGCGTTTATTTTCTTCGAGACGCTTCGATTTGTACACACTTTGATGGCGTAACGACCATTGCGCACATTTGTATGACATCATTAGTTTATTAAGGTGTCACAACACTAATAAAACAAACATTAGTCAGGCTTACCAAAGTTTACCATGGTCAAGCCATTTCGAAACACAAACATCTGCATTTAAATTGCAAAAATTAATGCAATTATAAATTATTATTAGATAAAAGGAGATGAAAACTTAAAACTGCCTGTAATGTAGGAGTGTTGGCTCCATGGCGCAGTGTTGATGTCTTTCGTCCAAGTCCAATGTATATTAAGTGGTCATCGCCTTTGATGACGTTGAACAGTTTTCTCACATTTGATGACATTAGTTATCCCACATTTCATGACGTTGAACAAGTTTTCCCACATTTGATGACGTTAAACAGTTTTCCAACATTTGATGACGTTGGTTTTCCCACATTTGATGACGTTAGTTTTCCCACATTTCATGACGTTGAACAAGTTTTCCCACATTTCATGACGTTAGTTTTCCCACATTTGATGACGTTAAACAGTTTTCCTACATTTGATGACGTTAGTTTTCCCACATTTGATGACGTTAAACAGTTTTCCCACATTTGATGACGTTCGTTTTCCCACATTTCATTGAACAAGTTTTCCCACATTTAATGACGTTAAACAGTTTTACCACATTTCATGACGTTAAACAGTTTTACCACATTTCATGACGTCAAACTGTTTTCCCACATTTCATGACGTTAAACAGTTTTCCCACATTTCATGACGTTGAACAAGTTTTCCCACATTTGATGACGTTAAACAGTTTTCCTACGTTTGATGACGTAAGTTTTCCCACATTTGATGACGTTAAACAGTTTTCCCACATTTCATGACTTAGAATAGTTATCCCACATTTGATGAAGTTAGATAAGTTTTTTAATTCCTTGAAGCCTTGACTTTGCAGGCAGGAGCGGACAATTACCACATTCAAAACAAAGTGAAAATGGCGTAAACAACAGAACATTATTTCTACATGATTTCGGACCTGATTTTGCTGAGATCAGATCTAGATTTACATTGTGGATGTCTTCGATTAAAGAGAAGAAGCACACACGGACTTTATTGTACTATTTCAATGGTCTCCATGCAAATCTTCCCTTCGTTCATAATGTGCCCTATCGTGTTTTTATCGAATTATCAAATTGGGATTTAAATAACGGTTTTTTGACACGAGATTATCTTGAGTTTTTTCATAAGGATCAAAATTAAAAGTAAAACAAACTTAACCTGTGATTTAAAATTACAATCTTTCGATGAAAAGCGTGATAAAAAAAAACATGTTCTATTCTATTTTTGAGGAGGAAAAAGGTCAGTGAGATAGGAGTGCCCGTTAAATTA